TTTTATGATTTTCACAATTTTGCTAATGAACTATTTTTTTAAATTTTTATTTGTAGAATTATTTAAAATATTTATTCTGAGGTAGATTTGCAAAAAAATTATAAAAAATAGAATAAGTAAACAATTTTATTCGTAGTTATTTTCAAATGAATTGATTTTATATCTCACATACGTCAAAAAAAATAAAAGTTTATTTAATTTATTTACTGACGTAATTACGATTTTGCTTAATACATCGACTTTTATTTAAATAAATGCAGGTTATATACTTCAGGACCTTTTATTTTGATTACAATATTTTTTTAATAGTGTAATTTTGTCAATATATTACAAATAATATGAAACTTATAAATTAGTATATTTCTAAACGAGCTACTTTGTAGTGCGAGATATTTCCATTTAAAAACTTACTTATTAATTATCGCATTAAACTGGAACATAAATAGATAAGAAACAAGTTAGTATATTGAAAATTAAACACGATAAAGAACAGAGAGGCATGGATGGAGTTCGGTTATATTTGCATGTCAAGACCATAAAATAATTCTCTCGTCAATAGTTTTAAATGACCAGTACCGAACCTTACGAACAAAATCATGAGAATGGCTTTCACTGTATACGCTGTTAGTTTATTACCGGGTAGCATTAAACTAGCCTGCGATAACACTTGAAGGTTGTGCGACAATTTGTATTGAAATTGATAAGCTAGTATTTATTAAGTTAAATATCAATCACTTTGCTTTGCAGAATACCCCTAGAGGTAGGAGTTAAAAAATTCCCGAGGTTAGGCAAGACTGACGTAAGAAGCGACCAAAATCTAGTCAACACCATTTGATTCTGTTTTGAGTATAAATATTAGTGAGTGAGTTTCACTTGCAGCATCTGACTGGAGATATATATCTAGTACCATGGTTGTCTGGGTCCACAACTTCAGCTGTCCTGACTAATTGAGGTTGAGCTCAATTAAAAGGTTGAGAAATCTTTAAGTGAGTATCGTGGTTCTGATTTATGATTACGAGCTGTGATTGAAATCTACAATTACTCAGTTAGAGTAACAATATTTATTACTTTGTCTTTTACAACCGAGTGCTGTGTTCCAAAAAACAGCAGAGTTGTTAAGTGGGATTTGCTGTCTACCCAACGATAAAACTGCATCTAAGCGAATAGTTTTAATTAGTACCAACGAAATTCTTTTGAATTT